GCGAAAATTCAATCGGTATCATACCAGTATCGGGGTACAGAGCAGCTGATAAACAAAGTGTGATTGCTATAAATTGGTTACTTTGGGAATCAAAAAAAAGTAACATTCATATTATCCATAGCGGAAATGCACGAGAAGTTCGGTTAAAAGAAGGTATGCTAGTTGACGGTTATTGTGAAGAGACGAATACTGTTTATGAATTTCACGGGTGCTGGTGGCACGGGTGCGAGCTATGTTTTTTTAATCAAACTCAGGAATTATCCGATAAAAACGACACTTTATTTTTGCGTCGTGAAAACACACAAAGCAAAGAGGAGAGAATTAGAACGTGTGGTTATAACTTGATTACAATGAAGGAATGCGTTTTCAGAGACCAAATTAAAGAAAATCCTGAGTTAAAAAATTTCATTGAAAAGCGAAATTATTTGAGTAAACACACCCCTTTAAATCCACGCGATGGCTTTTTCGGAGGAAGAACAAATGCTTGTAAATTGTATTATAAATGCAAAGAAAACGAAAAAATAGCTTACCAAGATGTTTGTTCTCTATATCCATTTATTAATAAATACGGAAAATATCCTATCGGGCATCCTAAAAAGATTTATGTTGGGCAAGAGGAATGCGCAAATGTTGACATAAATTCTGTCGAAGGTCTAATAAAATGCACTGTATTACCTCCTGCTCAACTTTATCATCCTGTGTTACCATTTCGATGTAATGGAAAATTGACATTTCCATTATGTCGTACCTGTGTAGAATCAAATAACCAAGGCGATTGTCTTCACGAAGATGTCGATCGACAATTTACGGGGACGTATGTGGCTGATGAAATACGTGTAGCTCTCGAAGAAGGGTACAGCATAGTGGAACTCATTGAAATTTGGGAGTACAATGTCGAAATTTACGATCGGGCTAATAAATCGGGTGGTCTCTTTTCTAAATACATAAATGCTTTTGTAAAATTAAAGGTAGAGTGTTCTGGTTGGCCATCATGGGTAAATACCGATGAGGACAAAAATCTATATATTCAGCAGTACGAAGAACGGGAAGGTATAAAACTCGATCCAACTAAAGTTTCAAAAAATTCTGGTCTAAGATTTCTCGCGAAAATAATGTTAAACAGCTTTTGGGGAAAGTTTGGGCAAAAGGAAAACCTTAAAAAAACTGACATAATTAGCGTTCCTTATGAGTTGTTTAAGTTGTTAACGAATCATTCCGTTGTTGTACATAGTATATTAGTTATTAACGAAGATGTTATTCTGGTCACATGGGAACGTGTAGAGGAAGATATAGCGCCGATGAAAACTGTAAATGTAGCTCTTGCATGCTACACAACGGCCGGTGCGCGCTTAGAATTATATAAATATTTAAAACCCCTTGGAAATCGGGTATTGTATTTTGATACTGATAGTATAATTTTCATTAAAAAAGAAGGGCAATATGAACCTCCTACTGGCGATTTCCTAGGAGATCTTACTGACGAAATGGTTGAATATGGCGAAGGTAGTTATATAACAGAATTTGTCAGCGGCGGCCCTAAAAATTATGCATATAAATTTTGGAATCAAAATAAGCAAAAAATTCAAACTGTGTGYAAAGTCAAAGGATTAAGCCTGCATTATAAAAATGCTCAACTAGTTAATTTCGATAAAATAAAAGACATGTTGTGTAATAATACCGAACAAACTGTTAAATTGACCGATCGCTCTATAATTCGAAATGAGAGGTATGATGTAATGACAAAAGAAACAACTAAGACGTATCGTATAAATTATACAAAACGACGACGTCWAGACGATGGTTCTTTTGACACTTTACCGTATGGTTATAAAGTTGTGTAATAAGGTAGAAATTATATGTATTTAAAACTTTTAATAAATAAATCTATTA